GTTTAATAATTTTAATATATCTATGCACATGTATATGCTAAAGAGATAGATAAAGATGCATAGATATAGATAGAAATGCATAGCAATAACTTGGGGATGAAGTACTTTATATTTATCATTGTTAAATATTGCTTCTTAATCTTAATCTTTTAATAGTAACCTGTAGAAGTAGAAATAGATGGAGGGCTATTTTTCAATTTTATTTTAATACATTTTAAGTAACAAGAATTCATGCATTCTTTCATATATTTCTGAATTATTCAAATAATTGCCCAAAAGGTGACTAATCTTGAATGATGGAAATGAGAATATAGCATATAACTATGAAATAAAATTATCAAGAATAACAGGTTTGTGTATAATCATAAAGATTGCTTTTAAGCTAATTTAAAAATATGTTGGCTTTTCAATAAAGCCATTTAAAATGAAACTATTAGGAAAGGAAATCAATTTCTTAGAACTTTATTCTTGAATATTGAGACTTCACAGAGACTCAGTGTGATATATAAATATACTAAATAGAAAATACACTTGTAAATAGTACAAATAGTATCATGTGTATTAATTTCCAAATGAGTTCTTTATAAGTTATAAAAATACCTATTAGTATTACATGTAACATAAAAAATGGCAAAGTTATTGGAGGAAACAATTAAGAAGCAATATTTAACAATGATAAATACAAAGTACTATAATTACTAAATATTTAAATTAAATATGAAAGTTGTTTTTAATTACTGATGAGTCAATTCCAACTCATGGTAAACCTATGTATGCAGAATAGAACTGCTCCACAGGGATTTCAAGGCTGTGACCTTTGAGAAGAAGATTACTAGGCCTGTCTTTGGAGGCAAATATTTGATAAGTATATACTAAACCAAAGAAACCAAAACTCACTGCCTTCAAGTTGGATCCAACTCATAGCAACCCCTCCTTGGATTTCTGAGGCAGTATCACTAGTAAGTAGATTACTCAATTTTCCTTCCAAGGAGTGGCTGGTGGGTTTGAACCTCTAGCCTTCTGGTTAGCAGTCAAATGCCTTAAGCACTATGCCACCAGAGCTCCCACAATAGTATTTGTGAAGAGAAAAATATCCAACATTGAAAAATATAAAATTTCTTTACTCCAAATCCATTGTGCTAATATAGTTAACACAATATGCTTACAATGTCGAGAACTTAACTTTTTGTGTGTATGTGATACTGCTATTGTAAAAATAAATGTAAATAAATTCATTGGAATTCATTGAAATATATCCCATATTAATAGAATGTGGATGTATGTTATTTATTTATTCAGTTTTTAACAACCACATTTAAATAAATATTGTATTTTCTGCTATTCTGGGAAGTATATATTCTGCTTTATTCTACTACTAGTTGCCTGTAAGTTTTCTAAATATCTATTTATAACTATTTTCAAAAGTTAGCAACAGAATAATATTGTATGAATAATACAAGAGGTTTTTCTCAACTAAACATTATATTAAAGTATAAGAAATGAATATTGGTTTTGTTTTAAGTGTGGCCATTTAAGTAAATGTATTACCAACTTTTCTGAAATATGCTTTTATTTTCTTTTCATTAAATAGAAACGTCAAACAAAGAACAAAGATAAACAGATAAAACTACTCAATGAAATCTTACATGGAATTAAGGTAATATAAGAGATATGTCTTTGATTTAATTACTTAGAGTGTGGCAATAAATTAGTCAATAAATGATTTTTTTAATATTCTTAGTACCTGTGGTGGTTAAGTTTGTGTGTCAGTTTGGCTGGTTGAGTGGCTGGGCAGCTGGATGTAGCTATTTCCTATGGTGAGATTGGTAATTAACTCCATGGTGCAATCTATTGGAGCAACTGAGTAGCTGCTTTGGGTATGTGGTCTGCTTCCCATATATAAGAAACAGTTTTGGGAATGGTCTCTATCTTATGGCACACTTGAACCCTGCATGTAGCTGTGTCATTCAGCAACCTGCCATGCTCTGCCAACCTTGGGACTTTCAGTGGACTTGAATTAATGGCTGCTATGTGGTTTGGTGACATCGAGACTGTGCCTTTTTTCTTGTCAACCTTGGGCTTGTCAGTCTCAGCAGCCAGCAGCTGTCTGAGTGAAGAAAAGCTTGTAGCTCCAGTGGGCCAGGAGCAGGAGGCAGAGCCCAAGGTTGAGGGGCTTTCACCCAGCCCTTAGAGCCTGGCACTTTGAACTTGGAATTAAAGCCTCCAAACTGTAAGAGAATAAATTCCTTTTTCTTCAAGCCATCCCATTTGTGGTCTATTCCTACCAGAGCAGCACTAGGTAACCAAATCAGCACCTCAAAATAATCATGTGAATTTGTATGTTTGTGTGCATAACCTCAAAAGTATAATTGTTGGAGAAAGATTTCAGATACATAGGAATTCTTATTAAAATAGCATTTACATGCAAAACCAAATACAATGCCAGTATTTTTCTTTTGTTTCTCACCCAACAACTAAATACACATATTCCAAAAGCTACAGAATATTACTTATGTTAAGGGAGTCAGATGCTGGGAGTAGTAGTATCAGTGTTGGAACCTGCATAACTTCATGGAAGTTAATGAGAATTACCGTAAGCAAAGCTGATTCCCAAGAGGTGCAGGTCAGACATAACTCCTCTCTACAACCTTGTTATCAATTTTGACACCAGCCGTCCCTCCCATAGCACTCTACTTCCCTTCTGGGTTCCATAATCTGCTGCAATGGCCAAATAGAAATCACAGACCATACTTATAGTTAAAATGTTTATTAAAGAACAGGGTACAACTTGAGATCAGGATCAACAGGCTATAATTTAGGATTAAGATCAAGATCAAGAAACATGTGGGTAGTCTCCCTTCTGTGTGGGACAGCTCTCAGCTTCTCTCAGACATGCATGCTTCCTCAAGACGAACTTCCTTTGTCCTCCAGGAGACAGGCTTCTCTTGGCCCCCTCAAGACAGATTCCTTTTGTCCCCCTCAGGCCCAGATCCTCTTGGCTCCTTCAAGGTTTTCTCAAGCTCCTCAGGATTGGCTCCTCATGGCCTTGCCATCTATCACCACTGGCTGTGCCACTCAGCCCCTTCTCAGCCTGTCACTGCCAACTTTGTCGTTGTGGCCCCTTTTGTGCCACTTAACTTTCTTCAGTGTTAACAGCCCTTGAACTGTGTTATGTGTTACAGCTCTTCTAGGAGGTTCCTTGTAATTTTGCATTCTCTGTCTCTCTGCTTCTTCTGTCTTCTTTCTTCCTTCTACTTTTTCCTGCTGCTTCTTTTCCTGCTTCTTTTGTTTCTAAAACCTTTGGGGAATTGTCTGCTTATACACACAACTCTGTAAATTTCAATGCATGCCTTTCTGGTAGACCACAGATAATTCCTTTACATAGTAGGCTATGCATAGTCATTTATGTGGGTTATTAGCTAATCCCAACAAGGTGCATACTAGTTACAGGACAGGCTGTAGCCCAAGACCAGATAAAAAGAATCAAGCTACAAGTTGTTTACAAGTTACACAGGAAGTTTCAATCAACCTCAGCAAAAGTAACAAACATCCTGGGATAGATGACTAGTGTAAAGGTGACTAACTACTCAGGGCTGAAGGTAAAAATTACTCAAGCTCTTTTTCTTAAGAACTAAGGCAAACTGCCACGTAAAAGAACTCATTTCATTACAAAAGGTTTATGTAGAAGAGATGAGATGAAGCAGGCAGCAATGGCAATAACACTGTCATCACTGTGAAACCAAATTTATATGAGGACAAAGACCAGGTGTCATTCAGGTTGTTTTATATGGCATAGCAATGATCGCAAGGATGTTGTTTAACAAAAGGGGTGTGTTGCAAAGTATGTGTTATCTAGTAAAACTACCCTTCCCACACCGCTAATATATTTTCTATAAATGAGAGTGAAGCCTTATGAACTTTCATATAATTTCAAATCCTATTGCATCTTTATTATGCCTCATCAGATTTTTCTAAGCAACAAAATTTGCGAAGTCCACACCAAGTTTCCTTCTGGCACTGAGAGTTACATAGGACATTTCCTCTGTGTGATACCTCTATTATTATGTACATAGAATATACCAATATACCAATTATATGTACATATTAGGACATGCTCTGGTGGTGCAGTGGTTAAAGCGTTTGGCTGCAAACCATAAAGTTGTGCTTTGAACCCACCAGCTGTTCTGTGGGAGAAAGAAGACACAATCTGCTTCTATAGAGATTTACAGCCTTGAGAACCCTATCGGCAGCTGTTCTACACTGTCATATAGGGTCGCTGTGAGTTGAAATCAATTTGATTGCAGTGAGTTTATATGTACACGTTGATTCACCTTAGACAGACAGGCAGAAGGTGGGGAGGTTTATTTTAAGGAAATGCTCATACAATTGTGGATGGGATGGCAATCCTAAATCTGTAGGTCTGGTGGCAGTCCGGAGACCTCTGCTGACTTATGCTCCAGGAACTGGAGGTCAGGAGACAAGAAGAGTACAGGGTTGTAAGGGAGAGAGAGAGAGAGAGAGAGGCAGAGAGACAGAGCGCTAGAGCGGGAGAAAGAAAGAATGAGCTTTATCAGAACATCCATTTTTACTGATTATACTGATTGGTTGATCATATCAGATCACATCATGGAGTGATTACATTGTATTACATTATAGAAAAGCAACCAGTCCAATGTCTGCCAAACCACTGATAATCATAGCCTAGCCATGTTGACACATAGCATTAACTATCACAGTACTGAAGTGAAATCGTTTCATTAAAGATGCCTTGAAAAGGGATAGATATCTTATCTGAAATTAAGAATGATCTGAAGTAAAATGTGGAGTGTACCTTTGCAATCTTTTGGAATTTAACTCAGATTATTAAATAAGATAACACAGCCCAAAGTAACATGATTTGAATGCAATTTGCAGCTTTCAAATGGTTAATTGATGGTCTCTGCATCCAAAAAATGCAGTAATGTATTAGTTTTATATATTGATATTCTTAAAAGTAAATGTATGTTATCAGTAGAACTAGGACAAGGTAGGTAAAAATAAAAGAACATTTGCTCAAGATCTGAGGAAAGAGTGAGGTTTGAAATAGCAGTCCCAGCACGGAATAGGCTAGAAACTTGGTACAGATCCAAATGATAATCAATCAATTAAGGTGGTTTTAAGGAGCTGGCCAACAGCATCCTTGGGGTCTGATCACATGTACTATAAAACTTCTATCTAATAATAATGATAATTTATTCAACATTGTTTACATGTCACATGCTTGTGCTAATAGCTCTGTAGCTCTTCATATAATTCTTGTAAAATAATTAATTCATATAATTCTTGTAAAAGATTTTTCACCTCCATTTTACAAATAAGAAAGCAAGGAGTATGCACAGTTAAATGGCGTGTCTAAATTCAAAAAGTCAGTCAGAAACAGAGCTGGAATTTGAATGTAGGCCTTTCTCACTCTGTGTGCAGTGGAACAGTATATGATTCTGCTTTCCATCCTTGTCCATATCAGAAAATAGTTTGCAATCTCAGAATACCAGTCACCTTTCAGAGAATAGCTTGAAACACCAAAACATCAGTTTTGAAGAAATTGGGACCAGAGAGAGTAGCTTAGCTATTAAGTAATAGAAAGTCAACAGCACTGAGAATTGGACCAGAGGAAGAATAACTGGATTGAATTAGAAACTGACTCGGAGCTCAGATTACTGCTAGAGCAGTAATCTTTCCAAAGCCTGTCTCAGTAAGTTATTGGTTAGTCAAAGGGACATAAGACTGAGAGAGACCCTCTCCAAATATGTATACATACATATAAATAAAACTCCAGGAAATATTTTAACTTTGTTGAAAACAGGAATAATTTACTTTTGCTTGAGCATACTATTTTTTTTACCCCCACAATTATATGTATGTGTGTATTTATATGTATGCATATTTTTATTTCTTCTATAATATTTATGGGAGCTCTGGTTGACTTGACAGCAGAGTTTGGTTTTTTGGTTTAGGATATTTATTGCCAAATAGTCATTGTCTGACTCCTTTACAGATCCTAAAACTTTATGCCTGGGAACCCTCCTATAAAAAGAAAATTATTGAAATTCGAGAACAGGAATTGGAAGTTCAAAAATCTGCTGGGTATCTTACTGTATTTTCTATGCTAACATTAACTTGCATTCCATTCTTGGTGAGTTTGTATATCATTTACTATTTTGATGTTTAAATTTTACTTGTGGGTTTATCTCCAAATTATGTGGAATTAAAGTATCCAAAGTGAAATCTTCTCTATCAGAAGTAAATTTTCAAGAATTACAGTCATTAATTTATGTAGATTACAGGACAAAAGTTTTAATGAAAATAAAAATATTATCTGTGTTTTGATTGGTCAGTATTTTTTAATATATAATATTTTGCTTTATAAATTTCTCAAAGATCAAGGATATGCCTTCCTAATTCTTAAAAAATGTAATATAACATACATTTCAAAATTTCATTCACCTCTAAAATTTCTTGCTTTATATTATTAATCTCTTTTGACATGGAACCAAAGGCACACTATATGAAAGATGTAAAGGAAGTAACATTTATTGAATGCTTCTATTGTATACCAAGCAAGTTAGATACATTGCCTTATTTCATTTTCAGAATGATAAGTTATTTTTTTTTTTCACTGAAAGCAAAGTGATATGAACCTAGGTACTCCCCCTTCTGTTGTTCCATGTAAGCACTGGAAATCCCATGTTATTTAAACTGTGTTATGTACCGTCGAATCATCTCTGACTCATAATGACCTTATGTACAGCAGAACAAAATACTGCCTGGTCCTGTGCCAGGCTCACAATCCCTACTATACCTGAGTACATCTCTGCAGCCAGCCTGTCAATCCATCTTGTTGAGGGCCTTCCTCTCTTTCGTTGACTTTACCAAGCATGACATCCTTCTCCAGAGAATGGTGCCCTCTGACAACGTGACCAAAGTGGGTCAAATGAAATCTGACCATTCTCTCTTCCAAGGAGCATTTGGGCTGCACTTATTTCAGGACAGATTTGTTAGTTCTTCTAGCAGTCCATGGTACTTTCGGTATTCTTCGCCAGTATCACAACTCGAAAGCATCAACTCTTCTTCAGTCTTCCTTATTCATTGTCCAGCTCTCACATGAGGCAATTGAAAATACCATGGCTTGGGGTAGGTACATCTTAGTCTTAAAGGAGATATCTTTGCTCTTCCGTACTTGAAAGAGGTCTTTTGCAACAGATTTGCTCAATGAAATATATCTTTTGATGTCTTGACTGCTGCTTCCATTAGTGTTGATTGTAGAATCAAGTAATAGGAACTCTTTAACAACTTCAATCTTTTCTCCATTTATCATGATGCTGCTTATTGGTCCAGTTGTGAGGAGTTTTGTTTTATTTATATTGAAGTGTAATCTATACTGTAAACTGTAGTTTTTAATCTTCATCAGTACATGCTCCAAGTCATCCTCATCTTCAGCAAGCAGAGTTGTGTTGTCTGCATATTGCAGGTTGTTAATGAGCCTTCCTCCAATTCTGATGCTACTTTCTTCTTCATATAGTCCAGCTTCTTGGATTATTTGCTCAGCATACAAATTGAATATGTATGATGAAAGGATACAACCCTGACACATTCCCTTGCAGATTTTAAACCATGCAGTATCCCCTTGTTCTGCTCAAATGACAGCCTCCTTGTCTATGTACAGGTTCCTCATGAGTACATTTACGTGTTCTGGAATTCCCATTCTTCTCAATGCCATCCACAATTTGTTATGGTCCACACAATCAAATGTCTTTGCATAGTCAATAAAACATAAGTAAACATCTTTCTGGTATTCTTTGCTCTCAGCCAAGATCCATCTGATACCTGATATCCCTGGTTCCATATCCCCTTCTGAATCCAGCTTGCATTTCTGGAAGTTCTCTGTCAATATACTGCTGCAATTGTTTGTGAATTATCTTCAGTAAGATTATACTTGCATGTGATATCAATGATATTGTCCAATAATTTCCACATTCTGTGGGATCGCCTTTCTTTAGAATGGGTACAGATATGGATCTCTTCCAGTCAGTTGGCCAGGTAGCTGTCTTCCAGGTCTCTTGGCATAGCTGAGTGAGTGCCTCCAGCATGGCATCCATTTGTTGAAACATCTCAATGGGTATTCTATCAATTCCCAGAGTCTTGTTCTTTGCCAATTCCTTCAGTGCAGCTTTTACTTCTTCCTTCAATACTATTGGTTCTTGCTCATATGCCACCTCCTGAAATAGATGATCATCTACCTATTCTTTTTGGTATAGTGATTCTGTGTATTCCATCCATCTTCTTTTGATGTTTCCTGCATCATTGAACATATTGTCCATGAAATCTTTCAATATTGCAATTCTTGGCTTAAATTTTTTCCTCAGTTCTTTCAGCTTGAGAAATGCTGAGTGTTCTTCCTTTTTGGTTTTCTAATTCCATGTCTTTGCACATTCATTATAATAATTGACTTTGTGTTCTTGAGCTGCTCTTTGAAATCTTCTGTTCAGCTCTTTTATCCTGTTGATTCTTCCATTTGCTTTGGCTACTCTCTGTTCTAAGGCAAATTTCAGAGTCTCCTCTGAATCGATTTTGGTCTTTTCTTCCTTTCCTGTCTTTTTAATGACCTTTTGCTTTCTTCATGAATGATGTTCTTCATGTTATCCCACAATTCCTCTGGTTTTTGGTCATTGGTTTTCAGTGCATCAAATCTATTCTTTAGCTGATCTCTAAATTCAGGAGGAATATAATCAAGGTCATATTTTGGCTTTCATGAACTTCTTTGAAATATCTTCAGCTTTAACTTGAACTTACATATGAGCAGTTGATGATCTGTTCCATAATCAGCTCCTGGCCTTGTTTTGGCTGAAAATATTGAGATTCTCTATCATCTCTTGCCATTTATGTACTCAGTCTGATTCCTGTGTACTCCCTCTGGCAAAGTCCTTGTGTATAGCCACCATTTGTGTTGTTGAAAAAAGGTATTTGCAATGAATAAGTCGTTGGTCTTGCAAAATTTTGTCATTCAATCTCCAGCATTATTTCTATCACCAAGGCCATATTTCCCAACTACCGATGATTCTTCTTTGTTTCCAACTTTTGCATCCCAATCCCCAGTGATAAGTAACATATCTTGATTGCATGTTTGGTAAATTTCAGACTGCAGAAGTTGTTAAAAATCTTCAGTTTCCTCCTCATCTTTGGATTTGGTGGTTGATGCATAAATTTGAATAATAGTAGTATTAACTGGTCTTCCTTGTAGGTGTATGGATATTATCCTATCACTGACCGCATTGTACTTCAGGATAGATCTTGTTATATTCTTTGTGATGATGAATGCCACAACATTCTTCTTCAATTTGTCATTCCCAGCATAGTAGATCATATGATTGTCTGATTCAAAATGGCCAAAACTGATCCTTTCAGATCACTAATGCCTAGGATATCAATCTTTATGCCTTCCATTTCATTTTTGACAACTTCTAATGTTCTTAGATTCATACTTTGTAGATTCCATGTTCCAATTATTAATGGGTGTTTGCAGCTTTTTTGTCTCATCTTGAGATGTGCCTCATCAGCAAATGGTGGTCCTGAAAGCTTTACTCAGTCCATGTTATTAAGGTCAGCTCTACTCTGCGGAAGCAGCTTTTCTCCAGTCATACCTTGAGTGTCTTCTGATGTGAGGTGCTCATCTTCCAGCATTATATCGCACCATGTTTCAGGGCTATTCATAAAGTTTCCCAGAAATATATCAGACAGTGTTTCACTGCTATTCATAAGGTTTTCACTGGCCAATCCTTTGAGAAGTAGATGGCCTTTTCTTTCTTCTGACTCTGTGTTAGTCTGGAAGCTCTGTTGAAACATGTCCACCATGGGTAATTCAGGTGGCTTTTGTAACACCTGTGGCATAACCTCCAGCCTCATAGCAACACCCACGCCACCACATTCTGACAAACTGACAAGCAAGTTTGTCTCCTTTATCTGTTCCAAACTGTTCTGCTCATTTCCTGGTCCTCTCCCCCACCTCACTTACCTGGCCTGCCCCCAAGGTGCAAACACCTGCCTTCCACTGCTCTGTGGCTGGCTTATTGCAGCCTGCTCCCAGGGTGTTCCACACATGCAAACAGGGCCTTCTGCTGGTCCTGGGGGATGTTCATTTCCACCTTCCCCATGGGGTGCTCCACATAAATTATGTGAGGGTACAAAAGAATGGGTGAAAACTAAGGGATAAACAAACCACATATAACTGGAGTATCAGTTTTAATCACAGTTACTACTCTAGTTGGTTGGAGGGAAGAGGGAAAGTTTTATTTCTCCCTTATTGATAATTTAAACAAATGTGATGGTATTATGAAAGTGAAAGAAATATTCAGATTTGGAATACTTTGGTAGAAGGGTCCAAGAAGCATCTACTTAAACCAATATTATGTACAGGATCGTCAATGCATTCCCATATATGAATGAACTCTTCCACCTTTTCCAAATAAAATTTATAAAAGCAAATATAAATTTTGCTAGCCATGATTTTTTCATACTTTAATTAATTGTGTAATTAAATTGTATGAAACAATGAAAACAATTAAATTTTATGTAAAAACTTCATTTTGGAAAAAGAATAATTGTATTCATTTTAAATGGAAATTTTTGCTCTAGGAAGACTATGAAATGTCTTAAAGAAAGGAACTACACACTTATTTCCAAGATGTCATTGTCTACGATGTACAATAGTATTATCTGTAATAAATATATATTTTATATTCCTCAGCTATAGCACTCAATTTCAGTAAAATAGAAAAGGGAGGATATTAACATTTTCTTCCCTAATTTTTGGGACTGTGCTTCATGATGTTGTTAGTAGTGAATATTTGAAGAAAATGACATTATGTCTATGTTTTAGGTGTCTCTGACCATCTTTGGAGTCTATTTTTTATTGGATGAAGTAAATATTTTAACAGCCGCTAAAGTATTCACATCTATGTCTTTGTTTAATATTTTGAGGCTTCCTCTGTTTGATTTCCCAGTGGTGATTTCAGCTGTGATCCAGGTATATCCAGAGTACCCTTATATTGAGACTCATTCCTTTACCAAAATCTATAGTTTTGGACATTTCATTTCTCTGTCTTACTTTATATTATTTAATTTTTGTGGTTGTTTAATACCCTTTTTGAGATTAATTTCCAGGAAATAATGAATAATAGTGGAAATTACACAGTAGAAGAAATCATATTAAAATGGCTTTTATGCATTTCAAGATATGATATTGTTTTCTTAAGTGTTAGGATTATTGTTTTGTTTTTAACTTAGCTCTCAAAAGCTGGAGTTGGATACTACACTGTGGTATCAGAGGATTCATTTTGTGTTTTCAATTGAAAACTTGTAATTAGATGCTGAGTAGAAAACTTCATATGTTTACCTAGGACATGATTGTTGTTGTTGTTGTTGTTGTTATATTCCATTGAGTTGGACCCGACTCATAGTGTGACCCCTCCTTGGGTTTCCAAGGCAGTATGACTACAGAAGTAGATTGCCCCGTCTTCCTTCTGAGGAGTGGCTGGTGGGTTTGAACCACCAGCCTTCTGATTAGCTGTCAGGTGCCTTTTGCACTGCACCACCAGAAATGCACTGATAACAGTCTGCCATCAAACCATGTGTGAGGGGTCTGGTTCAACATACTTTCAATTGTAATCTCCAACCCCTGGAGGCTGTTTTGATTCCCCAATGAGTAGAAGACGTCTAAAACTGCAAAGGAATGCAGGGAAGTGAGTTCTTGGTTCCCTTTACCCAGGGATTTATTCAGTCAAATATTTTGAGATGACAGCTTTGGGTTGCCTGGTCATCCCCCCTGGGATATTTTTCCTCAAGTGTGGTTTCATAAACAAAAGTCAATCTTTGCCTATTGAAACCAGCTATTTGATCTAAGCCAGGGGATGTAGCTCAGTGGTAGAGCACATGCTTTGCATGTATGAGGCCCCGGGTTCAATCCCTGGCATCTCCGCTGCAGACTTTGTTAGGGAGCTCTGGTGGCACAGTGCTTAAAGCATTTGACTGCTAACCATTAAGGCTGGCGGTTCAAACCCGTCAGCTGCTCCTTGGAAGGAAGGTTGAGTGATCTACTATCTGTAGTGATATCGCCTTGGAAACCCAAGGAGGGGTCACTATGAGTCAGATCT